AATCCCCGGTCAACAGAAAAAGCATAAGAAACTGAGTGTGCGAAGAAATGAGCGCTTCTTGTTCGCTTTTAGTCTATCTATATTAGACTGCCAATCAATGAATGGGAAAAATTTGACCATCAAATTTCGCTAACAAACCATATACAAAATGTTTATTGCCTCGAAAAATGACCCTATGCAAAATTTGAGCTCAATCGGACATGATTTAGGGGTGGCGCAAACGCGTCAAAGTTTGACTTTTTTCACTCTCGAAAATCTCCCAAGGGGGGGGGGGGGTACATGAAATTTCGGAAATCAAAAAAAAAAAATTGATGCCAAATGTCTTAAAAATGCATAAAACGGCGAGATTTGGTGTTATCTCGAAAATTTTTTTTTTTCAAAAATCGGCATCTTTTTTTAATGAGTTCTATATGGAATATAGAAGATTGATGAGTTGGCTTGGCTTGGAGGATGCTTGGAAGAAAAAAAACTTAACACATTTGGTAAATGACATAAGCATAAAGAAAAAACTGTTGCTATTTTTCAATACCTGGAAAGCCTTATTAAAATGCAAACTTAGAATGGCTAAGAAACACGTCGAAAAAAGGAACACATTTCATAGATCATTGCGGAGTTTGTTTGATATCGGGAAGCATTTTAAGACAAAAACCCGTGAAGAAAAGCAGGCGATGCAATATTTGCAAAAACAGCGGGAACAAGCTCATCTTGAAGAAGAAACTGAGGTTCTCCCTACCAATGAAACCATTTCGTGTAGCGATTTTGAGGAAGAAGGGTCAAGTCAAAGACCGGATCAAATTTGTAGTGCAACCTCAATTGAAACATCATCACAAAACGACAGCCAGGCTGGGTCAGTGTACTCGCCTAGTACATCCGAAAGAGCTTCTCCAAAAACAGGTACGTTGTGATGTTTTACTAATGTTTTTTTCTTTCTTTTAGATTATACACCTATTACCATCCATATTAATATATTTTGAACGTTCTAGGTTCTCCAAAACCAGCTTTGACACGTAAATCGCAACTGATACGAGTTGTTACAGTTGAGGTAGCTGCTGCATTGGACCGCTGTAAAGTGAGTGATCGAAATGCTGTGTTTCTAATATCATCGATCGCTAAAGCTTTAGGGCACGATGTTTCATCATTATTGTTGAACAAGGAATCTGTCAGAATCCCCAGAGCAGGAATTCGCTTACAAATGCAACATGATTTAAAAGCATCGTTTAAGCCAGATATAAATTTAACAGTACATTGGGATTCTAAGCTGCTACCTAACATATTACCATCCAAAGCTCTACCAAAAACCGAGCGCTTGGCCATAGTTGAATCAGGCGAAGGCATTAGCAAATTATTGGCTGTTCCACCCATCGAAAACTCTACGGCGGCACAACAAGCAGAAGCGGTGTACAATGCAGTCGTCGAATGGGGGCTTGCGGACAGGTATGATCTTAAATCGTGTATGTTCACCTAAGAATTCTGACTATTTTATCGTTTGTTTTCAGAATTATGTTTACATCTTTTGATACTACTGCATCAAACACCGGTAGAAAAAAAGGTGCGTGTCAGTACCTGGACAAGTTGTTTAAGAGGCAGCTTATAGGCCTCCCTTGTAGACACCACATACATGAACTGCTACTTGGCAAAGCTTTTAAAATTCTGAAATTTGAAACGTCAAAGTCTCCAAATGTTGAGATTTTTAAGGAATTCTAATCAAAATGGCACATTTTGGAAAAGACTTCATACCACTCACGTATGGATGATGATTTTTTTAAATAGCTATTTCGGAAATAGAAAGAATGGCATTATTGGAGTTTTATAAAAAAAAAACAAATTAGAGAGCAACACCACCGTGGTGATTACCGAGAGGTTCTACAACTTGCCATTTTATATTTGGGTGGAAAAATCGATGAAAAATTACAAATAAGAGCTCCTGGTGCGTTCCACAATGCAAGGTGGATGGCCAAAATAATTTATTCTTTGAAAATGTTTATTCTTCGGCATGAATTTGCTTTACCAGATAAAACTAAAAATCAACTAGCTCGATTTTGTGTGTTCATTGTAAAAAATTATTTGAAATTTGGTTTCTTTCTCCGTGTGCTGCGATGGCACCCAACAACGATCTGAACCTGTTAAAAATATTGAAGGAATATAAAACTGTTGATGAAGACGTTGCGAAAGCAGTACACACACTAAGATTTTTTTACAGGAGTCAGTAATTTTTTACTGGGTTTCTGAATTGCTGAAAAATTCGGTAAAAATTCAAATGACCGTTATCCGTAAGGAATCAATGAAAACGACCAACTTTATTTTCTATCGTTAAATGGGGTTAACAGAACTAAGTATGTACAAGTTCAGAACAAATTTTCTCATCAATAAATTTTCCACAGATTTTTAAACTTTTACCGAACAGTTCCGCAATTCAAAAACTCAGTAAAACCGTACTGACTCGATTAGTGTGCATAAAGGAATTTTAACTCACTTACAATATTTGGACAACAGCCTTATCGGACTATGTCTGTTCGACGAAAATGTAGACCTCCCGGTTAAGAAAAAGGTCATCGAAGCCTTACTTCTATCAGGTAAATGCTTTAAATGATACATTTGCATTTAATTTTCTAATGATTTTTTTTACAGATACTCATAAAAACATTACAGCCAGATCCATTGTTGAATCCAACGATATTTCAACGATTGAACTACACTCGTTTTGTACAAGGCAGCAGTGGTATTGAAAACTTATTCAAAGCTCTCCAAATTCCGAAGTCGTTGCTGAATGTCGATATGGAGCAGTGGAGTAGTTCCATCGAGTTTAAAAATGCAAAAGACGGGTTCAATGTTTGGAAGTAGTTAATGATAATGCAGAGCGTGGAACAGCATTGATTAAAACATACAATTCTAAACTATCAACGGATGAAGATCAAAAGCAGTGCATTTTACAATTAGTTGAAGATCATCGAAAAAATTATAATAGTACCAGGAAATCTGATTTGGTGTAGCTAATAAGGAAATATACGGCAAAGTATAAAACAAGTATTTTTCATCTTTTCAGGCAAATGTTCCTCTTGTGTAAAACTCACGATTACCAAAAAAAAAACAGATTAACGCAATTCAAGATATTTTTACAATTGATTTTAGGAATTTCTGATGAAAAGTTGTGGTTTTCCATATATTTTTGAATTTTTGGATCACCCTAATGAAGAATAATTGGACCACCCTAGTGAATTATTTCGTATTAGATCCTAAATGGTGGTTTAATTCTATATATAAGCAGGTTGGAGACAATTGTGAACAGTTTTAGAAGCCGACTCATCAATCTTCTATATTCCATATAGAACTCATGAAAAAAATTCCAAGTCCCAGAAAAATGATTTTTGAAAAAAAATTTTTTTTTGAGATATCACCAAATCTCGACGTTTCATGCATTTTTAAGACATTTGGCATCAAACAAAAATTTGATTTCCGAAATTTCATGTACCCCCCCCCCCCCCTCACTTGGGAGATTTTCGAGAGTGAAAAAAGTCAAAGTTTGACGCGTTTGCGCCACCCCTAAATCATGTCCGATTGAGCTCAAATTTTGCATAGGGTCATTTTTCGAGGCAATAAACATTTTATACATGGTTTGTTAGCAAAATTAAAAATTACCTTTTTCGCTGGCAGTCTAATCTATATTCCGAAGCAAGCATGGAGAGAGCAATGGAGAAAGCACAGTTCTCGCGCAACGCGAGAAAAGGGCATATCATTGTTGATCGATTCTCTTCATCGATGTTCTCTTTCGCGAATAACCCGACTGCAAATGAATTTCCCATTCAGTGTGTTGATTCAGGCACCAGCTAACATCATCTTCTGTCGAACTGTGCTGCGAGCTTAGCGAGAAATTCGTTTATGTTGCCGCGGTAAATCAAAGAAAAAGTCGATTAAGAGAATCGATCAATGAGGATAGGCACTTTTCTAATGTTACGCGAGCGTTCTGATATTCGCAACGTTCGTTTTTTCTATTTTTGTCGACCTAATTTATTTCACTCACTAACACACTCCAACAATATCTGTATCAATTTTCTTGCCGCAGCTTGGTATATCTCACCCTCCGCTCATGCGGTCTCCATGATGTTAGATGCGATGATGAATCCCTCATTATTGTAAGTAAATCTTATATTCCTCGGTTGGATGTACAGAAACTCACCCTATTTGTACTAATACGGTAAAGAATCTTGTAGGTACATTGATGGAAATCTTTTAGATACTGATTTCAATTTCCCCTTAGTTAATTTTATGAACTTCCAAAATAGGAACTAAGCTAACAGTAACAATTTTTTATTATTGTGAACGAATATTTCATTGAAATTCAAGTACGAATGGCGAAAAAAGTAACTTTGAAGTGGCCACCTACAAAGAAGTGACAACGTCACAAAAATGTAACCCGTTATCAGCCCTGTCTCTCTTTATTCAGTTTTTATGTTCTTCAAATGAGAGTGTCAACAATTGTCAAACAATGTCTTCAATTTAGCACTTCAATACCTTCCGCATTAGCGAGATTAGTGAGAGGCCTAGAGTTATGCTTGAAAGCGTGGGTTTGTTCAAATTTAGAAAATAAGTGTTACCAGCCCTTTGTTAATTGATAGGATTCTTTGAATTGCCTTATCACAAAATGTTGTTCAATCGTCTTGCAAACCGACGTTCGCAACACTATCGAACGATTCGCGATAAGATTCGCTCTATTACGTCTCACAATTGATCATTCGGATTGTGCTGAGATCCAGCTGCACGGGGCCCTACTTTCAAGTGCAACTCCTTCGCTGCAAATCCCAGCTGCACCCTAGAAGGTTAACGTAACTGTGATTAGCTTCGGAGCATTACGCGGTACTTGTTTGCATACCACGTGCGCCCCTAAGGGAGAGCCACGTTTATGTGGCAGCCTCTCAGCGCACCGGCCGCTCGCGGTGTGTAACATTTAATTGCTTTATCACAGAGATCTCGTAAGCAAATCGCAACACTGACAATGAGCCTACCGATTAGCACCGACACCAGCAGCCGCATGTTGTGGTTGTGTCGGATTTCATGCAACTTCTGGAACCGCCTACGCCGCCGGCGAACCTGCAGCAATCGTTCCCGGTCGCCAATTCTGTCGGCAACCATGGTTATGCGCGATGAAGATGATTACCGGTCACCGGTGGTCATGGTCGTCGTCCTGCACAGGAATCACCTTTCCCTTGCACTCCGAATCAACTAATTAATTGGTCGATTGAAAAGTAACCCGATGATGTCGTACGATGCCGCGAATGGAACTAAAACCGCGTTCCACCCGTTTCGTGTGCGAGTTGCGAGAGAATCGGTAACTCTACCACATACCTACATTCAGTTGGGGCGCCCTATCTTGAACGGACACGGGGCGGTCGATGCAGTTGTATTTTTATCTGCGTCGGCGACGCTCTCTACACCATCAAGCCGGCAAGCTTAACAACATACTTGTTATCAGCCAAGAACGCGTCATCCAAGTGCTACGTTACCCGAGAACACTGTAATCAACCGTCACTGGCGTTCAGAAAAGGGGGGTGCATTTTGACGTTTGTCAATATTCGTTTGTGGATTGTGTTCAGAGAAAACTAACTCAAATAACAACACAAACAAGCTGAAACTCCCACCCCTTTGAACGTTTTCTAGAACGTCTATGCGTAACGTTACGGACATCTACACTGAAATCGAGCGTGACGTGACATTTTTCTCCGATAAGCTACTATTTATTGGTTATGAAATGGCTCATTTTTCCTCCGTTCTCAATCTTTTGTCTAGAACGTAGAACAATTAAAGTGGGAATGACTTGACTTTTTCCTCGAAGTTTACTGCCGCTGGAACGTATCTTCAAAACAGTAAGGTTCAAATTTCGACCCGCGGTGGTGGTGTGACACAATCGTATCGGGGAGATCACGCTGTGTGCATTGATAACGGGTTCCTAGTTGTCGTGGTAATGGTAACATGTGGTGGAAGAGGTGAGCTCCTTATCTAACTCTTCAGAAGTGGCGTTACACTCGAAGGGTTTTCTGGCAAACAATAGAGGATGTCGGCATTGCGATTTGTTGCAATTTAACGGCTGTGCACATATTATGGAGTAGATACATTATCGACTACTGCCAGGTTCCACAGAGAACAGTCGTTGAGGCTCAAACACAATTTCTCTAAAAACTAGTGTAAAGATTCCTATTCGACTTAAGCGCCACTAACGGCGACTTCCCCAATTAAAAACCCTTTTTGACAACCTGATGGCGGTGGCGTTGCACAATTTACACTAGACACTAAGTGATGGTAGCGCCAAGTGGCAATTTCAAACAGAAAATGTATCGAAAGTGGAAAATTATGCTTTACACAAGTTTCTGACCGAAGTTGGACGTCTGTTCTCTGTGCAGGTTCTATGATAAGAGAACGGCCGGCACTTGACACTGATTTCAGAAACGAAACATGGAGGCGCTGCAATCTTTTAGGTCGTCCCTATTCTTTCGATGGATCGAACCACCGTCGGCATTGACAGCTGGGTTGTGTAATCAATCTAGCGGTATATCGCAGCGGGAGGATTTACGGTTTGTTTACCAGGTTTATCATTCCATGGTTAAAAATATACATGACTAACAGTATGCGAAATGAGATAAGGATGACCCACTGAAAAGTTTCTACATGTTGTAGAAGTCCCGTAGCTCGATTGACACAGTTCTCATGACCATTTTTATTGTTTTGTGGGTTACTCAGTATGGGCTCTACTTGGGTTAATTATACGGACTTTACGGGAAATTATGTGGAATCAATGGAATTCAAAATCGCCAAAACAAATGTGTGTGTGTGTGTGAAAGAGGTGTAAATCCCTTCATTTTTTAGTCTCTTTTTTATCTAGTTCGTTTATTTGAAAGGCTCAATCGCGTTAGCTTTACGAAGCCGATAATTCATTGTTCATTGTTTGTAACAAAATTAACTTATTTCTGTATCTAGTAGAAGTTGGGCCGAATAGTCGTGGCTTACATGAGGTTAGAGGGGTACATGGTACATTTTCGAAGGATATGATTAAGGGAGAAGCCGGGGTAGGGTTTCGTTGTCTCATCAGAGCGATGTCGCCAGTATGAACGGTAGTAAAGATAAAAAGTCTCTTGAAGGACATCAATTAAGTACGCACGGACGAGAGGGGTTCACAGATGAGTGACAAGCAATGCATTAGTAATAGGAAAAACGTTCCCTGGATTTCACGAGACGTACTGCTAATTATCAGAACAATAATTAGGTTACTAACCTCAATCCCATTTACAAAGTAAACACTCAATCTCGCACTCAACTTCATCCAACTTCGAGAAATCCCCCCAAAATATTACCCAACTTGCATTACCACCCACTGTAATGTCTATTTAATTAACACGACCACTCACTTCACGCACTTCTTCCGAAGAAGCCGGCCGGTTTGGCGTCCGATTCACACATAAATTATGAATAATCAACAAATATCCGAGTCGCATCGTGTCCCACAGGCCGTCGCACCGTATCTGTGGTGTTGTAATTTGTTTGTTGGGAAAAGTTGCGTCAGTTCCACACGTTCCTGCCTCACGCTACCCTCCTGTGAACCGAATTAGAACAAGGTATAATCTAATATTAGCTCATTTGATTGAAGATTTGATTGTCGTGATAACAATAACGATAGTGTGAAGGTGAGTGAGCTCTTCCAACTATTCAAGTGAGCATCATAATCTGGTTTACGTAGTTGAACTAATAGGCTCTTGATAAGACAGGTAAAGCCAGATTGCGAGAACTAGTGAAAAATAGTACTAAGTACATAGTATGTAGCCACTATATGGGAACGTTTAATGCCTGACCTAAGTACTGCGGAGTCGATCGATTTTATTTTTCAAGCCAATGGAAAACTGCTTGAGAAAAGTTCTCAAGTTTAAAACAGTTTTGCTCTTTCTCAGGTGATTCCCGCCAAAAGCTCTGAGCCAGGAGTACTTGAGCCCCCATGACTGTACCAAAGTTTGTTTACGTAGGAGATGATGGGGTAAGACGGCCACCCTAAGCTTGAAGTAAAATTTAACCAAAACTAAATAAAATTTTCACAATAAATTTAGTGATTATTCACAGCAAAAAAAATATTTAGATATCATATCACAGTGGAAGCACTTCAATCGTGTCAAAAATATGGTGTAATATTACTTGCCAAAAAGGACATAATTATCATTTATACAGTGCATGAACTGACATTACGCTGCTTTTAATGCATTTGTTTATTTTTGTGGCCATAAAAATTACATGAGATTTTCGACATGATTGAAGCATAGAGGTAACTCTAAGACCAGAAGGTCCCGAAGAAACACGCTCAACTTTTTGGCTCAGCTCTGGTACTATCTTTGGTCCCAAGCTAATCGATGCACCCCTCGAAACATAGGAAAATCGATGAACCCCTCATTTTATCTGTCAAACTTTCATAGAGAATCAAGACAAACATAGTGTAGTACTAGAATTTCGACCAGAATGGGGTACGTTAATCGATTTGCTTGGGATCAATAGACTAGTCAAGTAGTGAGCTAATTTAAATCGTTAGTTTCCACCGGTTGATTGAAGTGCATCCACTTGTTTTGATCCACAATTTATTTTTTGCTGTGTTGATCTTTAGACTACTTTCCTAAATTACATTGATTTTCATAAAATTTAAATTTAATTTGATGATGTTTTATCACGAATCAAAAACAGACTAGATTATGAATGAAAAAAAAATATGCGGGGTAAGGTTGGCCACCCCTAGGGTCACATGGAATATATCATGATCCTGGCCATATAAAAGGTTACTGTCTTCGGCAAAAATGCACAGTAGATCAAGGCAGATAGAGAACAGTAGTACAGAATTTTCCCACTATGCGGCGCTAATGTGCAAGTCAATTTCCTGCATAAAATATATCTTGAGATCTTTACTATTTAGAATGTTTCCGTCTTCGGGAAAGTTGTTCAGGTGATACTGTCTTCAAATTTGTGGGTTCTACGTCTACGTGTGGACTTTACGTAAATGTCCTGATTTTGTAGATGGTGGTATAGAGTTGATAGTTCCGTTATAGCAACAATCAATACGAAACTAACAATTTTAAATTGGCTCACCACTTTAGTAGCCTATTGGTCCCAAGCAAACGATTAACGTACCCTATTCTAGTTGAAATTCTATTACTACACTATGTTTGTTTTGATTCGCTATGAAAGTTTGACAGATAACATCAGGGGTGTGTGGATTCATGCAGAACATGCAGGGGTGAGTGAAATAGCTTGGGACTGCTTGGGACCGTTGTTCTGGTACTGAGTGAGCCAAAAATAATAATGATTTTCTTCTGGACCCAGTGGTCTTAGAGTTACCTCTATGGTTATAGTACGGCTGTGTTAAAATTGTATATAGAGAGTAGAAAACGAGCAAGGACAACTTTGAGGAAGGTACGAATCTGGTTGATCATCTCTCTTTACCAAACTCCCCAGTTGGAGAGGGATGGTGAGGAGTATCCTCAACCCCACCCCCGCAAGCACTGGAAAAAAAGAGATGATCACCGATTTGATCGTGTACCGACGATGTGTTTGAAACAGTTCTACCGATTGTACCACACTCAAGTTGTTATTTGAAGGGAGGGATCTAGTCGTACACGGTAAGAAAAAAGTACCCAAAATTATGTCACTTTCACTCAACACGTGGCTTCACTGGGGCTAGGTAAAATTAAGTTAAACAAGAAAACTCAATTTTGTGTAATCCTGAAGCCCCGTAACGTGGGTAGATCACCTTTTCGTGGTACGTTACGGGATGTAAGATCTACCACCGATTCCTAGTCCTGACTACTTCAAACTAGGGGAACAGGATTTCAGTAATCCAAGGAACACATCTTAGTCTTTGTTACTTTTTATGCCTTGTTGATAGTGACAAGACTCGGCTTTGTCCACCGAGGATGATCTTGAAACAAGGAAAAAATGAGTTAGTTAGTCTTCATCTATGTGATTCCTAATCTTCTATTCGTTGTTCCCTAGTTTGAAGTGGTTAAGACTAGGGTTGTGATGCATGGTCATTGTCGGTGTAATACCTTAATTTTGTTGCTAAGGAATACAAAGGGGCGCGCCTTTGGAGGGTGTTTCAACACTCCGAAGGGTATAAATAGCGGGACTTTTCAATTAGAATCAGATCCTTGCGATAAATGCAAGAGTAACAACTGTAAAAAAATCGAATACTTCATCATTTCTCAATAGTGATGGAGTACGAAATGCACTAAACTAAGGACACGGGATATACTACAATAGATCAATTT